ATTCTAATATTTTTAATTGTACCTTTTAATTAATAAATTTTAATTAAATAATCATCTAACTCCCATTTTAATAACATAATTGACATAATTTACATATGAATCAATCAAGTAATCATGTAATACAACAAAGGTTAAATGAAAATTAAAATAAAATAAGTTAAAAATATAGGAGTTTGAAAGAAGCTCGGAGACCAAATTGGATAAAAGCTCACTAAGGATAACAAAACTTCATACGACACATGTAGGCTCTATAGTGGTTGAAATAGATTGATTCTCGTAGTGTCGGACTCGTCTTGGCCGAATGATTCCAATGGTCCGGTATGTGTCCGAATTAGATGGTCAAACAAAGAGCGACAATTTGGTTTTCTTTTCGCCTCTTTGTCCCGTTGTTTTAGTTAAAAGGTTTTTAATTTAGGTGTCAATGCGTCTAAGTATGGGTAGGATATGATCTATTTATAATAAAACCTAGGTTGGTTTTACCAAAAAGTTCCTATTTTGATTTTTTATTTATAAATAATCGAAACAATATAACATAAACATAAGAAATAGGGTTGACACGCCTAGTATGTCCAGCCCTCTTTTTTTCTTCTCTTTTTTATTTTTATTTTTATTTTATGGGAGTAAAAATGGAGTGATAACAAATACTCCCTCTTTTAATGTCTATGTGTCAAAAATATAGGAAGATAAGTCTTTATATATTTTGACTTAATTAGCTTGTAAAAAAAAGATGTGACTAGGAAAAGAATAGTCACCTTGATATGGTGATCACATATGATTTTGAAAGTCGATCATCTCAACAAAGTACCAACCTAGGTATTTTGAAAAATGATCTTCTTGACAAAGTGATCGATTGAATATTTGACTGATTGGTCATTTTGATAGAGTGCTCACTTGATTTTGTTTTTTTTTTTTTGAAAAATTGGTCATTTCGAGAGGGTGACCACTTGAATAGTTTTTAAAAATTAGATATTTTGACAATGTGGACGCCTAAATATTTTTTAAAGACAAGCCATGTTTGCATGGTGACCACCTTGACATTTTTAAAAATTGGTCATCTTGACAAAGTGACTACCCGGATATTTTTAAATGTCAAGTCATCTTGACAGAGTGACTATCTAGATATTTTGAAAGACTAGTTATTTAGGTACACGACCACCTGGACGCTTTTTAACATAGTGGTCATCTCGTCAAAATGGCCACTTGGATATTTTTGAAAGACTAGTCATCTTAACAGAGTGACCACCTTGATACTTTATGAAAAATTCATCATCCGAATAGGATGATCACCTAGATGTTTTTCAAAGATTGGTCATCTCGAGATGGTGATCATCTTGTTACTTTATGAAAAAATGATCATCTAAACGGGGTGATCAGTTGAACACTTTTTAGAGACTAATCACCTCGACAGGATGACTCGCTTGAATATTTTTGAAAGATTGGTCATCTCAACAAGGTAGCCATCTTGGTACTTTATAAAAAATTGATCATTTTGATAGGATGACCACCTAGATATTTTTACCATACTGATCATCTCGATAAGATGACCACCTAGACATTTTAAAAGATTGGTCATCTTGATAGGTGATCACCTAGACATTTTTGAAAGATTGCTCATCTCGACATGGTGACCATTTTGATATTATTATTTTTTTTACAATTGATCATCACATCAAGGTGACCACTTGAACATTTTTTTAAAAGACTAATCATCTTGATAAGGAGGTCACCCGGATATTTTTTGAAAAACATGTTTATGATGGGTAGCCTTAAAAGGAGAAGGTCCGTTTGTTCACATACTCGAGTTCTCTTTGTTTGTGACGGTGATAGATTGTGGATTCTTTGAGGGTAGTAGCTTTAAAAAATATATAAATCACTCCTCATAAAATTTTAACTTCTTTCTTTAATAGAAATACAAGTTTGGATTTGTGTCTTGATTGCTAGTTTACTAGAACTTTTTAAAAAGATATTGAATAGATTGCATGCGACTTCAGGCTCGATGTCACTTCACTTTATCTATAGGAATGTGATTCCACCCCTAATTGTGGTAATGGTCTTTAAATCATTTTTATGCTCCATTTCCTTATTGTCGACTCGTTATGAAATTGTTTAAGTGCCTTCATCAAATATTATCACGCATGGAATTATGTTTGCCCTCGGGATGAGTTTTGTTGTTTGCCTTTAAGTCGTGTCTTGTTATTCTCACACTTGTTTAGACTTTGTTCATTTTATTATCGAGAAATGCTTCCAATGCTATCATCGTCTAACCTTCCTGTTCAATCCTTATGCCACAAACTCATTTATTTTTGTGTCGTCCACTTGCCTTTGGTTTAGCTAATGTGCTATTAGTCATGCACACTTGAATTTTGATCTTATTCAACTACTTGAATATAATCAATGTCATCCTTGATGATTCACTTGCTCAAACTTCATAGCTCGTATTTTACAAATTTCGGTCGGTTTAACTATGATGTTGCGAAAGATTAGATAGAAAGTATTATCATTTATGAATTGTCCGAATGGTTGGTTATAAGGCAAAATACATCACTTCAATACTAAGTTGCAATCATATTTAAGTTGTAAAAGAAGTTCTATAAATAAATATTGTTTTAGTGTTCTTTGAGAGGTGATCAAAAGATTTAGGTTTTTTTAAATAAAAGGTTCTGATAATACTTTTTATAAAGATGTGAGATCGTGTTTTGAATAGAATAAACTCAAAATATGATTTTTGGGTTGAAATAATTATCATGCCTTGTCTTTTTCTTAAGATTTCATGTCATAATCAATGATATGGATCATATAAGTAGATTCAATTTTTTTTTTTAAAGATGAAACTAATTGGCATGAATAATTTATTTTGATTAAAAAAAGATTTTTAAAAGCAAGTAACGTGAAAGAATGTGGAAAAGAATCGTAAACCAAGTTCTTTTTCACTTTTGACTCTCTCTCAATCTTGGCTTCGTAGTTACCAAAGTTGTCATCAATTTTACCACATCAATGTTATAGCTAATTTGTCAATGATGTATTTATACGCCTCGTGGCTATTGTCTCTCTCTATTATTCTTGTTTTTGGTCCCTTCAAATTTTGCCAGCTACCATATATTTTCCAACGGCAGGTGACAAAAATGAGCAGCCTGAAGCTGCGAGAAACAACAACCTGGCGTACACACTACAAATTTACAACCACCCCTAGACTAGGTCCTATCCAGACAACAAGTGGCAAATTAACATGTTTTCTTTTAATTACATTTACTTGTGATGTGAGCTGATGGATAGTTAATCTTGATCGTCCATACAGTCACCAATTTTACATCACATCAATTAACCTGTACTGTGCGTTCACATTGTAAAACATCTACTCCACAATGGGTTGGGCCCATCAACTGTTTAATCAATTTATGAAAGACCAACTTTTTGCTATTTATGGAATGCTTGTCGGTTTTATTTTCTCTCGATTATGGCACTAGTCTTAATTAAGAGGGTAAAGATGTCTAGAGACATTCATTAACTTTGGTGATAAGGTTCGTTGGTTTGAACTTTGAAGTGCTTTTTTTTATAAAAATGCATCAAAAAAAATTTTTTTTTAGCGTTTTTTTTTTTTTTTTTACAGTTTTGACCTCTTTTTATGAAACCATTCAAAAACTTCCAATTTAAAAAGCATTGCGGAAAAACACTCTCAATTGTTTTGTCAAACACACCCATGGTGGCTTGATTTGCAACAGTCACAGAATTTAGAAAAGATGCTGCCTTTTGCTTGCGTGATGGTGGCTTGTAGCCAAGGATCTAGGGAGGGGGAGAAAGGATAGAGAATAAACGGATAAGATGATGCAATCATATGATTTATAGTACTAGTCTACACGTGCTGAGATATCAAGCTGCAAGACAATGGTCCTCCTCGTCAAGGCCCACTACGTCAGTATCTTATTCTAAGATGTGCCTCTGATGATTCTTTCTATTTTCTAAAGCTTCAAAGTCAGATCAGACAGAGTTATCCTTGGAAAAGCTAGACTTCATCATGTGCCCAAAAGAAATGGTTTGGGTTTCATGTGAGGGGGTAGGGAATCCTTTGAAAGCTTAGATATCATTCTTTCAATTCTCAATCACGTCAAACCTTTCATTGTCAACACTTATGCGTGAGGAGGCTAAACTCTCGCATGATTGGGGCCTTTTGTTTCGTAGGCTGCCAAGAGTTTTTAGCCTCTCATCCTTTGTCCTTAAATATTTGGGGCACTTTATCCATCCCCACGCTCAAATTTTTCAAATTTCAAGATGATGATGCATGAACTAAGGGCTTTTCAAATAGTGGTAGGTCCAATGAAGTGAAAGGCAACTTGTCACTAAGTAGAAAGGATTAAAATCTTTTAAAAGCATATATCATGGCTCTTTATTGGAGATTGGATTTTAAGATGCCCTACAAAAATGCTAACTACCCTGAGATGAAGCCCTAATGATAAGATGCCAGGGATTTGAAGCTATTCAGATTTTCATGGCTGGGATGCTGAAAGAACTTGGAATATGACAGAAGGAAATTTACTAGCAAAGGAAACAAGGTTCCCCTCCTTTTGCCCAGCAAGTTGCAAAGCAAAAGACAACCATTTTCTGATAATAACTTGAAAGAGGCATGTTATTTTGCTTATATTTACAGTTTCTTAGTAAAATTCCCTCACCTCAGAGCCAGATACGGCATTCAGCATCATCATTTGCTTGCCATACAAGTTTTAGCATGAAAACTATCACAGTACCACCTCCTGGTAGGTTTTCAAAATGCAGTGCAAAAGAGATGTATTTGAACATTGAAAAATTTATAGCAAGCACGACTGAAGCTACAGTTCGATTTCAAACTTCATCCATTCCCGTGAAACAAGCAGATGCAAATCTCACTTACCACATACCTAAAAATCTGAGGGGCAAACTAGTAACCATTGTTCCTCAACAATGAAACTAGTACTCATTACTCCCCACATAAAAACAGATCTTGATCGTTTGGCATCGAAAGTTGCAGTCTAGTCGCCACAGTCCAGATTGACTGTGCCACAGAGGACCAAACAGTAAGCTAATGTAACTACTTCACACCTTTGTTTTTTCGTGGGGGAAGAGAAACAATGCCTTTTATCCCCATGAACTCCCAAGGCCAAGGACTCAAACCTCACTTCATGTCCCCCATCCCCGATGAAACATGCCCTCAAGAATTTAATCAATGGCCAAAATTTTTCAATGAACGGAAAGATTTCAAGCTCTCCCTTCCCAATAATAATGATGATGATGATGATGATGATGATGATGATAGAGGTGAAACTTCATACACCACATTAACTATCAACCAAAAAGGTGGAACAAAAAAACAAAAAGGCACAAACTTCTGGGATGTTCTTGCAGCCCAAGTCTCAAGATGACCCGGTTTGAGGATGCCAGGTTCAATACTTACCTGATTTAACCTAGCACACTACGCATAAAAAAGGAAGCATCTAACTGGAAAGACAAATTTCCATTGAAACTTCTAATAGGGCTCTCCACATATAAGATGTACAAAATTGAAGTATACTTCACTAAACACAAAGTAATTGACTTCAGGTAATAACTAACTTAAATGTTTCATTTACATAAAATAAATATTTTGTTGCTTCGATTGCTCATAACCCTTTCAGATATCAGGTTCCTTTAGCAAAAACCTACTTCCCACTCTTACCATAACCATCTCGAAGTGTTACAGTCCGATTGAAGACAAGCCTCTCAGGAGTAGAGTCCTTATCAACCACAAAGTAGCCTGGATTGGGAATGCAAAACACGAAAATATGAGATCGAGGGGAACAACATTAACGTCATACATGTAAGAAACAAAACTGTCATAGCAAAACCAGTTGGCATTGGCCGTTTAGCTCAGAAAAAAATATCAGATTGAATGGAGCAGGGAAATTGCTTGTTTTTTTAACACCAAAGGATTAGTGTTCCACTAAAGGAAAAATTGCAAATTATTACACTAAATTTAGACATCACATAAACAAAATATTGAGTTCCACCTGCAGCATCTGCCAATACATTTCATTTTCCAAAGATATCCAAACAATATAAAAGTAAGAGGATCTGAAATTTACCAAGCCGTTCAAACTGGAATCTGTCCCCAACGGCAGCATCTCTAAGTGATGGTACAGCATATGCCCCAGATATCACCACTTTGGACTGCAGGTTCACATCTGCAAGCCAATCTTCAAGTTCTGCAGGATTCTGACAAAATAAAAGCAAAAACGTGAGATATCATTCTATTTTTCTGGGGGCAGGGACAGGGGAAATAATATGAACAAAGCCACAGAAATAAAGAACTGCCAACCTCAGAATTAAATAGCTTATCAAACAATCTAACTTCTATGCTTAGTGGATCAACTTCTCGTGAAGGTTCAGCAACCCAGTGTATAACTCCCTGTATATAAACAATTATATAGCAAAAGGTTACCAACAAGCAACAATAAAATTAGCCATCTCAAAAGAATGTCAGTCACAAAATCATTCTCAATAGGGATAGCACACAATTTTGATTCAGAACAATTAGCAAATTGCAGCATTTTTTTTTTTTTAAAAAAAAAACCACCTTTGGTTTTGTCTTCTTGGAAGGATCATATTCAGCCCGGATCTCAAAAATAGTCTCATTATCATCAGCAAGGACTGCTTCTGTACACTTTATTGGGAATGCATACCTGCCAACAAAAAACACCTTCCATGTTGTGGCAACTTTCTATAAAAGGATTTGCATATCGAGCACAAAATCTGCTAAAGTTATTTTATGAAGGGGAAAGGAGTGTGCTAAACTCTAGCATACCTAAGCAGGACCGATTTACCAGGGGCAAGTCCATAGTAGTCCTTTGAGTCTTTCATCCGAAAATCAGATTGTTCAATGTATACAACTCTGGAAAATGGAACCTAGAAACGGGAAATAATACAAAATAGAAAATTAGAATATCGAACAATTGGAATGATATAAAGTGAGAAACTCGAAGTGACATATTAAAACAGTCAATTTCATCTTCTCACATTCTTTGATGTTTTCGATTTGGAAGATCAGAAGGAAACAAGGCATAAAAATGAAAGATAAAAACTCATAATATCAAGAGAAAATTCTGCTTCTCTAATTTGAATGTGTTATACTTGTCGTTGCACTTCTAAAAGCATTAGTGATTGGCAATTTTATTCATCATTTCAAGTTAAATTCTGATCTTTCAGAACCGTTCAAGATTAAATTGCAAATTTCTTAGCAGCCAGCTGAAATTGATCCAGCTTTCCTTCGCAAGCTAGCCCGAGAAGGTGGACTCGGGTTAAACTTGGTAAAAGTTGCACCAGATGAAACTTGAACTCATTGCTTAGGGTTGACAGTTTCATACGAAAGGCTGAGCTTAAACTCAATCCCAGGCCGGGAAGCCTATGTTGCACCTTAACGAGATATATAAAATCAGGTTTGAGCCAGAAAACTATATTTACCTTGTAGAAAGCAGATGAATCTTCCGTTGAGGCATCAGGCCATTTTTTTGCATCAAGATCCATAACCAACCCAGATTCCAGGTTTGTGATGACTACCTGGAAAGATAGAAAAGCTGAGATGGAAGCTGGAAGATGATTGCCCACAAGGAAAGATCACATACAAAATACGCACCTTTAGAGGCTGCAACACAACCATGGCACGAGGTGCTGTTCTGTTTAGTTCTTCTCTTATGTGATACTCAAGCCGCTCTAAGCGTATAGTACTAGAATCACTGCAGAGGTATGACAATTTTTTAGGAAAACGGAGCAAAAAAATATGATTAATTGGGTTTTCTGACTACTAGTCTAAATATATATGATTGCAACCTTCTAGTAATTCCAATTCCTCGGACAAAAGCATTGATTGCAGTTGAAGTTACACCTCTACGCCTTAAACCAGCTAGAGTCATCAGTCGAGGGTCATCCCAACCATCAACATGCTTGTTTGTAACCAAGAAATTTAACTGCAACAACAAAACTTAAAAGTGTTCAGCTTTATCATAAAACAGAACCATGTGATCAAATTTCAAGAGTTCCACAAAATTGTACAATAAATGCTCACCTTACGCTTCGACATCACAGTATTGGTTACATTCAGTCGCGAGTATTCCCACACATAAGGCTGATAAAGATCCAATACATGTAACAACCAGTAGTATGAAGCACGCCGTGTCTCAAATTCCAGAGTGCAGAGCTGCCCAAGATATAAATGAAGTTGAACAACAAAAATCCAAACAAGTATACAAAAGTTAACTGTTCATCGGGACTTGAACTTAAAGAGATTGTCTTGAATAAATAACATTCAAGCTAATTAAGATACGTAATTGATAGTCTTAAGTGAGAGAATGACAAATTCAGATTAATTATTGTTAGTCAGGAAATTCCTTATCCAGATATGAAATTGAGAGCCTTAGTGTGAGAACGGCAACTTCAGATTATTGGTAGTCAGGAAATTCCTTATCCAGAAATTGCTTGCTGATCAAAACTATCAAGTTATTTCAAATGCATTAAAATCACACCTAAGATTTTTAAAAAAACTTATACATCAGATGATTATAAACAAAGATTTCCAGAAGGAAAAGTAAAAGTGATATTTTTTGTAATCACGAGCCATGAGCATGTCTAGGAAATTCAACCTCAAAATCATCTCAAACAAATTACAAACGAAGAAAAAATACCAATCCAATATCTCAGTCCTTTTTCCATACACCAACATAGAAACTGGCGAAACAATAACCTTTCTAACATTTCAGAACAGCACTCAAAGACATGACAGATAGCTAGCAGATAAAACAGGAAGAAATCCACATCTTCAAAATTAATACCAGCAAAGTGAAACAAAATAAAACATGTGCCCATAAACCAGAATATAACATACCGAATGTGTAATGTCCTCAAGAGAATCCACAATGCAATGAGCATAGTCATAACTAGGATAGATACACCACTTGTCTCCTGAATGTGGATGTGGAGTAAACTGAACAACAGAAAAATCAGACCACCAATACATGTGATAATGAACAAGTTGGGTAATTGATGATGTTCATCCAATTATGCTTGCCTTGATTCGATAAGCAATGAGGTCATACATATTCCCATTATCACTCTGCATGTCTTGCTTCATTCTGAGTGTTGCTTTGCCTTCTTCAATCATGCCCCGTCTCATTTCTTCAAAAAGTTTCAAAGATTCTGCTATAGGTCTATCCCTCCAAGGACTGTTCATCTTCTTTTCTCTGTACTCCTTAATCTCTTCCGGTGTCTAGAAACAGCATTTACAAAATTACCTTTTTGAATTTGAAGTCAACCAATTCAAAAATATAAATGCCATGAATGCAAGGCAAAACAACTGAGCTCCAGAAAGTAGCCAATTCATGTAAATCACTCATTACTATAAAAACTTGCAACTAGCATAACTCTGGTACTAGGTAATATCAATTAAAGCATTAGCGGACCCCTCCCTCCCTCTCACTCACATCGACTCAGAAGTCAAAAATTTTGTACCAACCTGGTGATCAATGTAAGCATGACCCCTTCGTATCAGCTCAACCGCTAATTCATAAAGCTCTTGGAAATAATCACTAGTGTAAGTGATCTGCAAAACTCCAACAGATATCGGATGTCAATGAGGTACATCGACCAGATATAGAAAGGCAGTAAAAAAGAGTAACAAACTAACATGACCTTGAATGGTTTCCAACCCATCCACTCAACAATCTCTTCAATATGATTGATGTATTCTTTCTTTTCAGCTTCAGGGTTTGTATCATCATACCTAAAAGAATGAAGATGACAAATTAGACTCAGAAGCAACAGCAGATGAAAAAACCTCTGTCCCTTTTATTTATCATGAATACAAATGAAGGACAATCAAGCATGGCTGCTTTCTGACGGAGGTTAAAACCAAGATGCTCCTTCATTACCATCTTTTAACCACGCGCATAAGCATGCATGATCGCACACAAGTGGGTGCCAGGCAGCCAAATGTGTGTGAGCACATGTGTGTGCATGTGCTTATACAAAGGGAAAAGGGAAGAATGCTCTTGATGGATAACGGTCCTAGAGAACATGTGTTATTGAGATTTAAATGACATCAAATGCTTGATGAAATAAAGTGGGAAGCTTATGGAAACAATGCATACTGCGTGATAAATGTTCAAACGTAGAAGGATTGTGACTATTTTGTGCAGGTCATTATGTTTGACAGAGCAGGTAACATAACAAATCTCTACACTTAGAATTTATAGAATGAATAGAAGATAAACATTGGATATAGATGTGCCAACAGCAACAGTGTATTCAAAAAAGAAATGACAGCACTCCTCACCTAAGGTAGCAGCATCCATCTCGCTCCTTTGCCAGGCCAAAGCTAACGAACATTGCCTGAGAAATGTTTGTAAAATGAGGAACTCCACAGGCAAAGCAAATAATAAATCTCAAACCCTGCATAGTTCCTTCTTAATCAACAACCTCAAAGATCAACATGAATAACAAATGGAATACCTTGGCATGACCAATGTGTAGATATCCATTTGGCTCAGGGGGAAGCGAGTATAAACTTTCCTGCTGGTTCTTTTGAGGTGCTTATCAAGCACTTCCTTTGTGTTGCAGCATCGAAGAACAGGTCGATCACTGAAGAATATTTCAGTATGCACCTGAAATCCACAGCATTTATCAGGTGTTACCATGTAATAAATAATGAAAAATAGGGAGATGAAGATTTATGGGAAACATAATGCACAGAGCATGTTTGATTTAAAAAGTATGATCTTGAACAAGCATACGAGTTTTCATATTCATTCTAAAGTATGGCATGGATAAACAAAAGAAATGGTGGTAATTATGGACTAAACAATTTATAAAAATGTTAATATCAAAATCTTGATATTATTACCACCACCTTATCAAATCAACCATTGGAAAAGATAGTCAATACAATTTGCTGCTATCCATATTTCACACACCCAACATCCTCATCATTTTCTTTTCAAAATCTCACATACAATTATCGTGTCACAAGCATGAAAGCCAACTGTGGTGCTGATGTAGCTTTTTCTTCTAACTGACAAATCTTTCTTTTGGTAATTGATGGAACATAAGAAAGTTTAAACTTCATATAACCACAAAAAAAAAAAACAAAATAGAATGTTGATGAATCCAGAAAGGGTATAAAAAGGCACAGCATGAAAGGTTAAAAAAAATGAAACGCAATAATGTTTAACATCAAAATCAGATCATGCATTGCCATGATCAAATACCTTGAAATTTTCCACAGGATTGGGAAATATCAAGAATGGATTAAGATCTTCAGATGGCTGTACTGGATTGTCATCGGCAACTTTTTTATCCTGCACAAGTCCATTATACACAGGACAAAAAAATAGAAACAATCAGATCTCTTACATCAAAGCAAATGCAGGTAAATATAACATGCATGCAATTCACTCACCTGAACTTTTGCAGGCTTTTCTTTTTTCTGTTTTGAAGGTTTCTCATTATCTGCTGCAGTTCTTTCACCAAGCAATTCATATAATTTTGCATCAATGAGTTTCTGACAAACAAGACATGAAGAGCAAAAAAAGAGTTAACAAATAAGACTTAACATATCCACGCACCAGGTTCCAAAAATACTGGAACCTTGGATGAAGATGCAAACTGCCAAAGCTTGATTTGGCAATAATTCATTAGTACAAGAAAATAATTGGGCTCACCTCATGGTTTCAAATGTTTAATGGCCCATTACATTCCACCCCATTTTGCAATACAGTGCATCATTTACACCACTTTCATAATAGCCATTATGTAGATATTAAAAGAAAAGAATCGGTTTTCTTAGTTTTTAAGGATTTTTTTTTTTTTCACTTGAGTATTAGATTTTGGCTAAATCCTTGCAATCAGTGCAAGTACGAAGTAAGGGTCACATAAACTTTGAACCTAAATTGTTCTGAGGAGCATCACATTTTTCATGAAAATTTATTTGCTCGATTCAGAGCATTATTGTAGTCCTTTTAGAGAGAAATAGGTAGAAAATTATGATAATTCACATTTGCAACTGCCAAAATAATTACCAAAGACCACAATAGACAGTTTGCTGTGATGACATGACCATGATCGCTATCACAATCTAAAACCCTGGTGCAATCTGCTGTACCATAAAACTCAAGCAATCTAACAAACATGATACACGTTGGCAGCTCTTGAGGCAAATCCAAAGCCTAAGGATATGCTAATATCTTCTGTGTCTCTATTCCACCAAAATGAAAGGCCTTGCCTAAGGACTCAAAAGTACATTAGTTCTGGGGCCTAGTGACTTGTGCCTGACAGCTCACAGCATGCTTTCAACAACAAGCGAGATAAACTCCTTAAAAATTTGCAAAAACTCTACTAAAGACACCAAAATTGCAATAAATTCATTCAAAAACAAATAAGCATTCACCTTGACAATCTTTGGATCAGCCCACGGAAGCCTCTTGCGAACATGCCCAAATAGATCTCCCACTGGAAACCAATACATGCCAGATTTAAAGATTAAAATAAGCACAAGATGGTGAAATGTCAAGTGAGTCTGTTTAAAAAATGGACCCCAATGTACATCACTAACAAATCAATAATATACAACAAAATCTGAAAACAAAAGATTTCATCTAAAGAGAGCACCAACTAGAAAGTGGAAACAATAAAGAAAGGCTGCAAGAAAACCCTAAACATGAGACGTGAATAAGATGAAAGGGGGATGGGTGAAGGAAGAGAGAGAGAGTTTGTCTCTGCACTTAAAGATCTCTGTACAAGAGAAAACCAAGGGATATCTTCAAAAATAAATAAATAAATTATCACTGTCTTTCTCAACCCCCTCTCCTTTCTCTCACTGGAAAAGGGATTATTACGCGTGTCATGACATATACCAATGCCAGCTCAAACTGTCACTCTCTTATAGCCCAAACAATTATTCGTATCGATGCAGGTGATAATCCCACATTATCATAATGATGTGGAAAAGCACGAACTAACGATATAACAACAGTGGCCCAATCCAGAACAAAGTAGATAGCTAAGTAAAACAACATAGAGAAGTAGCATAAATTATAAACATTGACCATTTGTTCGATAACGGAGCTCCAATATTGATCCCTTGTTCTGTTCAAATACTTCATTAACAGTCCTCTCAATATCTTCTTCAGAAACTTCAACCCCTGCTTGCAAGTGCAACAAAGTTATTAATGTCCACTACTCCAAAAAGGAAATTAATCAACTAATAGTGCAAAAACCACTCCAAGTGAGTAGATCATTTTAAAAGATGAATAAATAAGGATGAAATATAAGTAGAACAAACAGATATAACCAAAATAGAAACGGCAACAATAGAAACATAACATGATCCTGGTCATATGACTGGCTCAGCTATGTTCTATCAAAAGTATAACTTACCAACACCACAAGCTTCTTCAAATTCCTTCAACTCAAAACTCTCAGAAGCAGTAGTGGATAAAAATGAAAATGCAGCTTCTAGCTGGGCTGGGGTTTTAATCTGCAAAAAAATATTTAGCTAAGTAATAAGAACCAACCTAATTCCTTCAAAGAAAATATTCTCATTTAAAATTCAGATTCAAAATTTGCAAGCATTAAAGAAAAGAAAAACTTAGCTAATTAGTTATGCTAGCAAAAACTAGTGTCGCCATAAAAGGTGAAACAACATAACCTGAAAGTGATGGCATACAAAAACAAAGGATCGAGGATAATGCAGTCCAAACCTTTGTGGAGGCAATATATCCGAGCAAGGTAGGGCGATGAATGAGGGCATTTGCTGGGTACTTTGTAGCAACCTGTTAAGCACATGAGAAGCAACCGCAATTCACATTAGTACAATATGGAGAGTGAAAATCCTTTTTGGTTTTGGATTAATCAAATAAACCCATAGAACCCAGATAACCAAATTTTACTTTACAAAAAGAGAAAAGAAGAATGAACAAATGCATAACCATTAACCAACCACGAGGAAACTAAAAAATTCACCAAGTTGTAATGAAAAAAGCCATTTCTATTTTGACTACATTGTACAACTAGTATATTTCATATTAACTAATTTTACCGTGTAAAGAAGATTTCCAATGTTTCGATTACATCCCTCTGTGGCACCAGCCTGAAAACAACAAGAGAAAAACATCAGGAAAAGAGAACAATTTTACCAAAATTTCAAAGTTTCCTCAATTTAGAACCTCAAAATACCCCAAAAAAAAAAAAAAAAAAAAAACACACTAGACAGAGATGATTTTTTTCCGACAGTCAAAATTAAGCATATCTTCACATTCTCGCCTACCTACGTATCCCTCAATTTTCTCGGCAACCAGGCATAAATCCATCGCATGCAGTTAAATTTTTTTCAAAAAAACTTTTAAAAAAGGAGAAGAAATTGGTACCTCGTGAATAACAGCAGTGAGATTGTTGGTAACCTTGTTGTTGGCAATGGTATTACGTGCAGTTCTTTCATCTAGACCGATCTTCAAGAACAGCTCCAATGACGTCGTCCCTGAGCTCTCTTCTTCCTTCACCACCATTATTGATTACTTAGATAGAGCGAGAAAGAGAGGAAGAGAGAGCGATTTGGATTAACCTTGTTAGGTTCTGAATTTGAGAGTGGCTGGGTACAAACTATTTAGAGAGAGAGAGAGTGACAAAACCCTAGTTTAAGACCGAAATGGAATCGGGGAAATGAAAGAAGTACCTGTGTGCGTTTTTTTTTTTTTTGGGAAAGATTCTTTTCTTTTTTTTTTTGAAAGATTCTTTAGGTTCGGGCACGGTGATTACGACTGCTGCCTTTAAATGCCGCTACCCATGTGGCGCCATTAAAGTAACCGTTAGATATTAGCAGTCTCATCTACACCGTTAAAAATAGAAAACAAAGGAAATCAGTTGCCTGCCCTTGCACGGAATTTGAACGGGTTGCATTTTCTCTGCACTTCCTGTCGATCCTTGATATTTTTCAAAGTTATTACAATGATACAAAAATTTTCTTTTTAATTCAGGATTCTACTTTCACAAATTCAAGTATATTAGCAATTACAAATGCACCTTGGAAGTAGCATAATTTTTTGAGTTAAACGCAATTGGTGGAAGCTCACTTTTTTGTAACTACACAATTAAATCATCTATTAAATATATGTAGAGGCTAGGCTTAAATTAAAGAAATTAACTTTGAAGTAATTTGCAATCAGTGGAAGCAAATGACTAATTTTAAGAGATTGAGGATAAACATGCAATAAACAACCAAAAATTAGGTTTGATTGTACTTATAAAAAAATTATGAGCAAACTTATAATTTTCATAAATTTTGATGCAATTCTTTTCCAGGATTTACTCATCCCTATGAGAATTTTTTAAAAAAAGGAAGTTAATTTATCCAACTTAAGATCTCCTTTCAAAAACTTAATTTTTTTACTCATTTGTTCAATTTTTATAAATTCACTCAAATGGAATCATACGACTATATTTTATTTATATTTTCTATCAAATATTAGAATCAAATAAATAAAATTAAGAATAATATTGTCTTCTCTTCTTCTTCTTCTTCTTCTTTTATTCTTACTAAGTGTCAATAACTCATCAGCTAACAATAACAATTCTTATACTTTTCAATGTAGATCTAGTGACATAGTTTCTCATTTTCTTTTATATTTCAAGTTATAAAACTTGAAGTGTTTTAAAAGAAGTGCAACATTCACTAATAACTAACTACATTGTAGAACTTGTCTCGGGACAGTGAATTTTTATGAAAAAGTGGCAAAATCAAAACCTTAAGTTTTTAATTTTTCTATTTCAGTGTGTTGAATAAGTTTTTATAAATTTTTTGTACTTTAAAATTGATTAATTGAGTTATTCTATTAATATTCATTAGAAAAGAGATAGCATGTCAAATTTTCAACTAATTTGTGATAAAGATATTCAGTGGACAACTAGTTAAATTTCTAATTGATTTAAATAGAAGCACCGGATTGATCCACTATTAAGGGCACTTAATTAGTTAAATTTCTAATGGATCTAAATAGGAGCACTTAATTGTTCAGTTCTTAAAATATAGACACCTTAATAGACAAATTTTCCATTTCATGTACTGAAACAGAAAAATAATTAAGTATAGTTGCTCATCTTACGCCATCTCCTTTTCCTAGTCTTTTTGGACTTGTAAACCAAAGAAAGTTTGGATTTCTTTGGGCAGTAACCAAATATCGTGGGCTACAAGTAGTGGACTGGTCCGCTTTCGACTGATTTCCTGTGAAAGTTTGGGTTCACCATACAACTCATTTTTTTACCTTTTTTTTTAATTTTAATTTTATATATATTTTTTAAAAAATTACATGTTTTTTTCATGAATTTTTAGTATTCTTAGGATTTAAATTCCTTACAATTATCCTTTAATTTTGATTAAAACAAAAACAAAAGTGTTAGCATCCAAAACTTCTCTTTTTTAAATTCTTGAGGCATTTTTAATTTTCTTCTTTTGTTGGTTTAAAAAAGAAACAAAAAAATAATAAACAAAGAAAAATAAAAATAAAAAATGAAGAAAAAAATGTATATGTGGATAATAAAAGAAAAAGAAAAAACAAAAAAACAAAACCAAGAGAGAAAAAGAAAAAAAGAAAAAAGAGAGAAAGTAAATAAGAGAAGAAAAATATGAGGAGATTTATTTAAGGGGTTGATTAAAAAATATTTGAAAGTATCATGGATCAATTTGAGAATTGTAGAAATTTGAAATAGAAGCTCGAACCTCTTTTGAAAAATATGTATTGATCTAAACTAAAATACAACCTAAACTTAAAATAATCTAAATTCAAGATAAATTTAACCCAAACCTCGTTTAATTTAGACTCAATTACCAAATCTATTTTTAGTATACGAAAGCAAAATTACTTTTTTAAAAAAGAAAATAGTACTTTTCTTTATTTGTTTGATTTTTTTTCTTTCTTGAATGGCTAAAAAAGAAAGAAAGAAAAAAGTGTTATGAAATAATGAATATCTATTTTATATTCTCTACTATTCATATGATTCAATTCGCCATTCAATATGAGAAATTGAAAAAATAGTGCAATTTATTCAATTATTTATGCATCTTTTAATGTTTCATAATCCTTTCAAATTCTTTTCCTAATCTTGAAGCCTATAAATAGGCTTAATTGTTCATTAGTTTATGCATAAGTATTTTGTAGGGATTGAGAGATTATTTGGAGTTGTTATCTCTTGTATTCACTTTATTTTATAATGAATTCATTTTTCTATCATCTTTGTCTTCAATTATAGTATTATTACTATTTCTTTTATAACACGTTATCGACACGAAGCTCTAAACAATCGAGATAATAGACCATGAAGTATATATCTACCAAAAGACTTAATCATTTATTTCAATCATTGGATTTTTTTCTACACAAATACTCTACCAAAAGATCTAAATTATTTAGATAATTAAGAAGTATGTATCTAATTTATCATGCACTTTAAATCTAATGATACATAGAATATATATTTTAAAAACTTAAGGATTTAATATATAGAACCTAATATATATTATTTGAAAAGTTTAAATTTTATTTTATGTTTGTTTTTATTTAAAATTTATCATTATATTTTATTTTTATTTCTTAATATTATTATTATACTTTGCATTATAGAATTTTTATGATGTTAAACCCATAAAAATTTATTTTGTGGCCCTTTACATTTTAGGCAAGAATTATTGACCATGAGTGTTTGATGCTCGAGTAAATATGCTCTTTTTTATGTCTCGAATATGCTCCTACAGTAGCATATCGAGAAAATGAGTTTAAGAAATATTTTGAATCGATTTCATATTTACTCGTAGCTAAATAAAATGACAAGCTATTAATGAAAAAGAATAAATCTCACCCAACTAGATCTACTCCATTCCATGAAATGAATGTGACAACTTATAATAATTTAGAGCATGGACGAAGATGTTTCATAGCCATGGACGTGGTCGAAATAATTATCATTATAATCATGGTGATCATAACAATATATCTCACCACCAAAAATGGATATCATAAAAAAAAAAACACTAAAACAAATTTCATTAAGAAATGTCTAAAGTCGTGGTTTATAAGACTTTAAAAAGTGCTAGGGGCATTAGTAAGCGCAAATGGCATCACAAGGTGCTCGTAATGACCATTGTAAGTTTCAAATACAATTTAAAAAATGTCGGACTCAAAAACTCTTATCCGATGATACCCCGCCTTTAAATCAAGTTTAGAAAAGATTACTCGGTCCCCGTAATTCTTCAAGAAGTTCTTCAAAAATTAGAATAGGAAACTAGTCACGAATGATGATTTGGTTAACTATTCCGTAATCCACACACATACGCCATGATCCATCTTTTTTCTTCACTAATATAATTTGAAAAGCAAATAGACTAGAGTTAGGTTGAATAGTTCCCACGTCTAGCATTTCTTACACCATCTACTCAATGATATCCTTATGGGCAATGGGTATCAATATCACTTCATATTCACAGGTTTTTGTCTTGATTTTAGAATAATTTTGTGATCATGATCTCACTAGGGAGGTAATCCTTTAGGTTCTTCAAAAATATCACCAAAGGCATATAGGATGATCCGTATTACGTAGCAATTGACTCTTCTTCATCCATCTTACATAACTCCAAGTTGATCCTCGTTATTGCTCGATAATTGGTTCAATTGAAACCAGTTATGTTCCTTTTATTTGTTAAATATTCCGTTTTTTAATTTTTCCTCTCATGAATTAGGAAGTTTAGCAGATTTCCCTTATAAAGTTAGCATTTGACCTCGCAACCAAAACTTCATCCATAATGACTTGAAGTTTCGGACTATATCCCTTAGCCCATATAGCCATTCTATTCCTAGAATCATGTTATAGATTCCCAACTGCAAGTACAAAAACTCTAGTTTCAAACCCTTGTTTCGGATCTTCCATTTAAATGATTCATATATCAAATCACACACAATCTTAGTTCCCTCAACCACCTTAATAGTTACTAGTTTGATCCTAGTTAGTTTGTACTTAATTTTCTTAGCAAACCTACTATCTAGGAAATTATATATACTACAAGTATCAATCAAAATCTCCATTCCATAACCTTGTTGCTTCTCTTTAACCCTCATAGGTTTATACTCGATTTCCTCCAAACACCGTAATCATAAAGATCCGATATAGCTCCCCCACATATTGGTCTTCACAAACCTCGGTATACTCGGCTATTGCTAGCTCCACATTCTCCCCTACTTCATCATTTTCTTCTATTTTTAGCATATACACCTATCTCCCTTTGCAATGTGTGCCCCGGATATATCATCAAAAAAATAACATTGCGTCCTTAATCTACGTTCATCTAACTCCTTATTGATTGGAAATTTCCTAGTCTTGAACACCGAATTGCCTTTCTAAAATCGAGGGGATAATGTCAATAAGCCTTTTTGGTTGTTGAAATTATTAGTAGAATTGGCGTAGTTTGCATATGGATTGAAGTTTGTGAAGTATTTTGGAAGGGTGTATATGTAACGCCCCC